CATGTCTGTGGCCACAGCATGAACCACAAAAATCATACATCCACTGTTTCGTTCAGAATATTCTTGTTATTGTTTTCCTCATGTAAAAACTAGGTGCGTCTTATGGAGTGAAAAATACGGTAAATTGTGGAACTCACAGGAGGCAAGGACAGCCACCAACTTGCCATTAAAAGAGGACTGGACAAATTCACGGAAAGTAAGGCTTGTTAATGGCTTCTAGCCAGAATAACTATGTTCCAGCTGCACGGTCAGAGGCAGTAATGCGTCTGAGCGCCACTGTTTTCCGGGGAACCTTCTGAGGGTCACACGTGTGTGGTTGGAGACACAGCTTTCAAATGGATAACATAGAATTGTAGGATTAGAAGGGACTACAAGGGCCATCTAATCCAACCCCCTGCAATGCAGGAGTCTTTTGCCCAACGTTGGGCTCAAACCCACAACCTTGAGATCAAGAGTTTCATGCTCTGCCAGCTGAGCTATATGGGAGCCAACCGGTTGGAGACAGAGGTGGGCAGAGCGCTGAGTGCAAATGTCGCCCTTTGTACCATAGGCTGCTTCCTAATTTTAGGGTAGGTTGCACCTGCTTTCCATGCAGAAGCCTCAGGTTCAATTTCCAACGTCTCCAGACAGGGCTGGGAATGGCTTCTGTCCTGAAACCCTGGGGAGCTGCTGCGAGTCAATGTAGGACGTGCTGAGCTAGATTGAGCAACGGGTCTGACATATAGAAGGCAGCTCTCCTGTGTAATCTATACACACACACACCTCTTTCCAGGAAAGCGAAGCACTTAACAGGCCACAGATAGTAAAAGGTCCAGTCAATCGCGTCAGGGTGGTCCAGTTAATTTTCCTGCCACGGGAAAGCCACGTGTTGCTGCCCTGTTAAAACAGACAAGGGGATGCGATAGGATGTTCAACTGGGAGGGAACCAAATTTCAACCTTCGTGGCTCTCGGCAGCAGCTTGAAGGGCGTCGGTGAGGCGGCAGGGGGTGTTTTGATAACATGCCTGCCAACCAGGCAAGGCGGGCCAGGAGCAGCTGTTGGCATCCCTTCCCTGGAGACAAGCCAGAAAAGCTTTTGTGGGCGGAGGTAGACATGTGTGGGGACATGCCTCACAGCCGCCAGTCCAATTGTGCAGCCGCAGGCAGGGAAGGGATCTGAAAGAGGCGAGAAAGAGGTGGGGAGAAATAACTTTTGATTTGGATTCTGGGTTACCCTAATCGGTGACCTGGATTACTCCAGAGCATAGCTGTCAACTTTCAGATTTGAACAGCAGCCTCAAAAATAAGGGATCAGCAGCCTCACCTGTCTACGGGATATCTAACAATCCGGGATAGCAGCAGGAAGCAGTGGGAAACTGCGCTGGAATAAGGGAATTTCCTGAAAAAAAAGGGAAGGTTGACAGCTATGCTCCAGAGAGGGCTTTCCTTGGCTGAGGAATTCCCCCCTTCAGAGAGCTTGCTTGGCAACCAATAGCTGACTGATGCTGCACGTGAAAAAATGTGCACATAAAATATGTAGGCATGTCAGTATTTCCAGAACTTCACCCTCCGTACACTGTCTGGAAATGGCAAGGGCTGAATTTAGGATCCCAGGCCACAGAGAGGTTAGGCTGGCCTCAACTAGAGCCAGGGCTTTCTCGGCTGCGGCTCCAATCTGGTGGAACGCTCTGTCACAAGAGACTAGGGCCCTGCAGGACCTGACATCCTTCCGCAGGGCCTGCAAGACAGAGCTGTTCCACCAAGCCTTTGGTCAGGGCGCAGCCTGACCCCCTCCTCTGGCAATCTGCACAGAATTTTGCTTGATGGTTGCCATTAATTTGATTTTAATTTGATTTCATTAATTTTATAATGAATGTTTTTAGAATGTTGGACTATTTTGATTGTTGTTAGCTGCCCTGAGCCCAGCTTCGGCTGGGGAGGGTGGGATATAAATAAAAGTTGTTGTTATTATTATTATTATTATTATTATTATTATTATCATCATCATCATCATCATCATCCTTTGCTCTAAAAGAAATTATTATCATCATCATCATCATCATCATCATTATTATTATTATTATATCACCCTATACCTGAAGGTCTCACAGGATGAAATCACAATATACAGTGGTACCTCGGGTTAAGAACTTAATTCGTTCCGGAGGTCCGTACTTAACCTGAAACTGTTCTTAACCTGAAGCACCACTTTAGCTAATGGGGGCCTCCTGTTGCTGCTGCGCTGCCGGAGCACGATTTCTGTTCTCATTCCGAAACAAAGTTCTTAACCCGAGGTAATGTTTCTGGGTTAGCAGAGTCTGTAACCTGAAGCGTATGTAACCCGAGGTACCACTGTAAAAACCCAAAATACATAATCAAGATAAAACTAAAACAACCCAATAATGTCCCCCACAACACATTTTAAGAGGGCATCAGATGTTAATCAACCAAAGGTAAAGGTAAAGGTACCCCTGCCCGTACGGGCCAGTCTTGACAGACTCTGGGGTTGTGCGCCCATCTCACTCAAGAGGCCGGGGGCCAGCGCTGTCCGGAGACACTTCCGGGTCACGTGGCCAGCGTGACATCGCTGCTCTGGCGAGCCAGAGCCGCACACAGAAACGCCGTTTACCTTCCCGCTAGTAAGCGGTCCCTATTTATCTACTTGCACCCGGGGGTGCTTTCGAACTGCTAGGTTGGCAGGCGCTGGGACCGAACTACGGGAGCGCACCCCGCCGCGGGGATTTGAACCGCCGACCTTTCGATCGGCAAGTCCTAGGTGCTGAGGCTTTTACCCACAGCGCCACCCGCGTCCCTAATCAACCAAAGGCCTGGCTAAAGAGGAACCTAGGAAGTGCCCTCATATAGGCTCAGACCACTGGTCCACCTTGTTCCTGCTCTGGCGGCCGTGAGGCAAGTCCCCACACATGTCTACCTCCGCCCACAAAAGCTTTTCTGGCTTGTCTCCAGGGAAGGGCTGCCAACAGCTGCTCCTGCCCTGCAAATCTCAGTGCGGCTCACAACTTAAAATTACAATAGAAAAACCCTAGTTTGGTACAGGGAGCGGTGTTTGCAATGCTGCAGAATGGACTTTTGCAAATGAAAAGAAACAAACCAGTCGCCTTTGCGTTTTCAAAGTGAAAGGTGCTTCGCATGGTGATGTACAGGTCTGTCCCACACCTGCAGCTGATTCCTGGATCTGGAAATTCAAATTTTTCTTATCCTCACCCCCCCACCTCGCTGTTTCCCTTTGCAGACCTTGGGAGCACCGAGGACCAGATTTCCTCCCCCTGCTGGACTAGAGCTGCCGAGACAATCTGAGCTGTTATTTCCCCTTCCCTTCCAAAGACGCCCCCCTTGCAATGTTCTGTTCCAGCAGCTGCAGACGGAGCATCTGCCGCGCACGTCCAAAACGTTGCTCTCAAACCCTCCTCTGCAAACCGTGCGCCTGCCCCGCAAAATTTAACAAATCTGCCTGCAAAGGAATACGGAAGGGCCAGAAAAAAATCTGCTCGTTTGACAGATAACATATTGATGTGATAACATATTGGTAACATATTGATTCTGACGGATGGGGAAGCTTTTCCAGCCTGGGGGCCGAATTCCTTTCTGGGGAAGCTCCTGGGGGCCACATGCAATGTGGATTTGACCTTCGTATGGTGGGATGTCACCCAGGGGCATTAGTCGAATCCAAGGACATCCCAGCCAAGCAGGAAACATTCGAGGAGGGTGTGGTGCCAGATCAGCGAGGGGCGTGGCTTACAGAAAGTTCCAAGGGCCAGATAGAGAGGCCTGGGGGCCACATTCCCCACCTCCTGATGTTATGTAACTGGTCTATATTCAGGAGCAGACCTGCTTAAATTAACTGACCTAAATTAGCATATAAATATAAGTTTATACTAGCTTATAATTTATATATCACCATATTTATATTTATATACAGGGTGAGTCTTTTAAGAGGCCATGTGGAACACGTGCAACCTGTATCTATGGGGCCTTTTTTAAAGGACTCACCCTGTACTAACTTATTCATATACTAAGTTAGTATATAAATGGAAATATAAGCGAGCTGGTATATAAATGTTTAAAATAAAATATATAAATAGTATTGAGGACTAGTAACTTCAATTAAAAAAAATGGAAATGAAATGAGATCCTAGAAGGTTTGCACTCAGGTGGCACATTCTGGGTTGTATGCAGTTAAATTATACCCTGGAGGACACCCAGTTATTAATACATTAATAACATTTTATATACATGCATCCTAACCACTTCAGGTATATATTTTTTTAAATCAGCCTGTTTTCCTCAGAGGTTGCGTGGAGGGTTTTGGTTCGTCTGAACCCGACCCGCATCTCTGTCCGTCTCGTGTGAACCCGCCTCTGAGGAGCAAACGCGTGTCTCCGCCTCTGGGCTCGGAGCGCGCCGCCCCCCGCGCGCGCGCCCTCGCGGCGCGTGAGGGAGACACCTTGAGCGAGGCGCGCGCCCGACGCCTCAACCGCCGCCTCTTGACGGGCAGCGCCGTCGCTGAGGGCAACTGAGGACAAGGACACGCACGCGCAGAGGCGAGCGCGCGGGCTGGGGGGGGGAAAGGTTTTGCTCGCGCACGCGCGCTGTCACTCTCTCTCTCTCCTCAGAAGCGCTCTCTCTCTTCCTTCAGCGTGCCTCTCCTCAGCGCGCACGCGCGACCCCTCACATTTTCCCGCGCGCCGCGCTTTCCATGACTATTTTATTGGGTACGTCGAGGGAGAGAGAAGACAAGCCCCGCCCACTCTCGTGGTTGGCCCCGCCCACCTCCTGGGCACCCGCCTGCCTACTTTTTTTTTTAATTTGGGGGGGTAAGACGAGAAGCCCCGCCCACTCTCGTGCTTGGTCCCGCCCCCCGCCCGTGCGCGCCCCCTCCGTGCATTGTCGTGCGTTCGCGCTTTCTCTCCCTCATCCGCCCGCGCGTGCGTCCTGGCCTTCCCCGCGCGCGCTCCCGCCCGCCCGCCCGCCCGCGACCTATTCACCACCACGATAGTAGCGAAACAACCTATGGAAATAACATTGGTTGGCATCTCCCGCCCGCCTCCTTTCCCTCGGCGCCCCTGTTAGCTTGGCCGCCCTTGCCCTCCTCCGCGGCCCCTCCCTTCCCTGACGCCGCCGGGCGTGCGAGGGAGGCGGGGGGGGGGCGAGCGGCCCAAAATGGCGGCCGCGTCGCTCTTGGTGCGGCTGACGAGGCGCCCGGCCCGGCGCGAGCGACGACAATAGAGAGCAGGGGAAGGAGCGGCCTCCCCTCTCGGCCTCCCGCCCCCTCCTTCCTCGCCTCTCGCTGGTGCTCCTCCTCAGCCGCCGCCGCCGCCGCCGGTCTAGCATGGTGCGGGTCCGCCGCCGCTGGGCCCCCTCCGCCGCCCCGACCTGACCTCGCCTGCTCCCTCGACGCCGCCGCGCCGCCAACATGGGCGAGAGGCTGGAGCTGCGGCTCAAGTCGCCCGTGGGAGCCGAGCCGGCCGTCTACCCGTGGCCCCTGCCCGTCTACGTGAGTGGTGGGGGAGGCGGGAGGCCCAGGGAGGGGAGCCCCCCCCCGCGAAGGAGAGGGGGGCAGGGTTGGGGGGCTCTGTCTTATCCCCTGCATTTTTATGGGGGATTCGAGCGGCTGTTGTGTCACCTGGGGGGTTATAGGAGGCTTTTGGTTGTGTGGGGGTTTTTTTTTGGGGGGGGAAGGTTGCTAGCTGTGGGGAGGGGTATTTGGAGGGGTTGCCATATGGGGGAATTTGGGGGGAGTCTGTTGGGGTGGGGGATTTGATGGGCTGCTGTGTCACCTGAGTTTTCCTGCTTTTCTTTTGAGAGGTTGCTGTATGCGGGGAGGGGTACGGGGGGGTTGCTATATGGGGTATTTTGGGATTTGAGTGCATTGGGGGCGGTTGTGTCGATGGGGTGGGGTTGCTCTATGTAGGGAGATATTTTGGGGGAGTTGTCATCTGGGAGATATGTATGTTCAGGGAGGTTGCCGTAGGGGGGAGTTGGGGAGAGGGGTTTTGAGGGGTTGTTATATGTGGGGAGGAGCATTTACAGAGTTGCCATATGTGGTATTTAGGGGGATGTGTAAGTTTGTTTGGGGGTGAGGTATGGGGGAGTTGGGGAGACGGATTTTGAGGGGTTGCTATATTGGGAAGGGGGGTGTATAAGGTTCAGGGGTTGCCGTATGGGGGGGTTGGGGGATGCAGTGTCAGTTTGTAGGATTATGTGGGGACGAGTTGGGGAGGGAGATGGTTGCTATATTGGGAGTTCGGGAGGGAGATTTTGGGGGCTGCTATGGTATTGGGGTTATTATTTGGGGGGACTTGGAGAGGGCAGCTTAGTTGGTTATAAGGAGGAAACAAGGCTTCATAGAGGCTTATACTATAGGGGTGGTTTCTGTATCCTCTCTGGGGGCTACAATTGGGGATGTTTTGTGGTAATAAATGGGTGTCTAGGGGTACCCCATTGGGGGGGAATCATATGTTGTGTGGAATAATTTGCTGCCTATGTGGCTAGGGGGTAGAGAGCAATTGGAAGTGTTAAGAAGCGGGGGGGGGGAGAGAAGGAATGTGACAAAATTATGTCAGGAACTCCACTGTGCAAAAACATGGGGGGTGGGGGGCTATGTGAATGGGGAGCGCTTTGCCTCTTGAGTGGGTTGCATGGGGGGGCTGTTATATGGGGGAAGTTTGGCTGCTTGGAAATGGAACTTCCATGGGGGGAACCTCTCTGGGTGAATTTTGGATGGAGTTATTACACAATGGGGCTATCCAGAAACTGTGTGTGTTAAGTTGGTGGGGGGGGGAGCCTTCCTGCCAGGACAGGTATTATGTTGGGGGGGGGGAAACGGATGTGGGATGCAACTGGATGTTTCTTAGTGAGGAAACAGAGAATGTTATGCAAAGGGCAAGGAGGTCATACGTGCAGTGTTTTTTCTCTGAAGGTCGCCCTTCACACCAAACGCTTCACACTCTTTATACAGACATGTGCATTAGAAATTGGTTCAGCTCCCCAGTGCTACTCATCCACATGATGTCTCACTTGGACTGCATCAGCTCCTTACTCCTGCAGAACTCTGTCTCTCTCAGCATTCCACATGTTCCCATGTTAAAATTTGACCCCCCCATAATGCCAGGTGGAGTGGTGAACTGTTGCACCCCGAGGGCCATGTTACCTTCCCCGTAATCTGCCGAGGGCCACATACCAGGGGTGGGTGGGGGCAGAGGTGAAAGTAAGAGGAGCAATGGATGCAAATTTTGCCTTTTGTGCAGGACATGAGGCACACACGCTGCCACACAAGCACCTTCTCTAATATTTAAACTTTCCTGTCCTCAAAACTTTTTCCTGGAAATGATCCTGATGTGAAATTAAGCCAGTCTGACTACAGGGCTCCGGGGTGTCTTTGCCACACTTGTCCTTTATCCTTGAGTGCTTTCCTCTGTTCTGTGTGCTTTTATGTCTTCCCCCAGTGTTTTGATCTTGACTTTCCCCCCTCCACAAGGAAACCTCTTCCATTTGAATCTCCTGCGCAGAACAGCTCTCTGGGGCTGAACACACACCACCCTCCCCTTTTCTGTTTCTCAACTCCTGACAAACTGATCTCTACTTCCTTGCACCCACTTGCTGTCATCCCTTCCCCTTCCGGGCTTGCCTTCCACACACAGCTTGGTACATCTTCCTGTGCGTGCTCCTTGCTTCCTGACTTGCGTGCAGTTTGCCAGGGACATCTAGCTTAGATGGCTTTTAAGTGGAAAATTAGACACGTTTCTGGAGGGAAACGCATCTTGGCTGCTAGTCATTATGCTTACCATGGACTGACTCTGTAAACATGTGAGGGTTTCATATCTCTGCACTCCAGTTGTAGGGGAGCAATGATGAGATACGGCTTGAGTTGCCTTCCTTGCCTGGTTCTGGCATGAAAGCTTCCCCTTTCTCCCATGCTTTTGGCCCTCAAGATTTAAAGTATTTGTGGCCTCCTTTGCTGAGACAGCATCTCCTGCTAGACCTGCCTTTCATTTGTATAGATGTGGGGTGTGTGTGTCTGTGTGTGTTGCAATTGGCTTCAGTGTTTCTGTTATGTTTGTAAGTTTGAGTCATTTGAGTAAAGTTGCTGATAAATACATAATACATCAGGGCCGGGGAACCTTGAGATGTCCCCCACCTCACCCCCTGGTAAAATTAACATTCATTGTCCCAATTGCTTTTATCTCTGCCCACCTCTGGCAGGAGGAGGAGGGATGGCATGGGCAGTTGCCCAAGAGATAAAGAGATCCTCCTGCTGCCGCCACCTCTAGTGTAAATAGAAACTCCTCCCTGCCCTTTATCATCTTTGATAAGATATTTTTGTGTGTGGAGATTGTTTGGAAATTTCCCCCTTGCTTCTCATTAATCCCTCCCGTTTGCGGTCAGATGCTATCCTGGCGTGGTGTGTTCATTACTTAGTGTAACCAAAACATTTATTATTATTATTATTTTGCACCCAGTAATCTCCTTGCTTTAACCTCCCAAATCCTCAGTTGACCCACTGAATGCAACTGTCACTGGCCTTGCTCTCTCTGTCCTGACCCCGTTGCTCAGGACACAGAGCTGTTGCCTGCTTGGTCCTTTGCCAACCTTTTCTGTTCAGCTCTCCCCACCCTATCTTGCTCCCCCACATACACACTCTTTTGAGTCCCAGACATTCTTTGCATCCCAGGCCAGCCATTTCAAAGTAATCCTACTTTTCCTGTTTGTGGATGACTCACCCACTTGCAGATACGCCTCTAGGTCCACACCCCAAACATCTAGTTATTGCCTCCTGTTCCTCCCTTTGACACTTCCACACCTCGCAATCCTTTGCCTGCTGTAATGTGTGCTCTTGGAGAGGCGTGTTTCATCTGCATCCCAAGAGCATTAAATTATTACGGGATAATTAAGGGTTTCCCCTTCCAGACTTCTTCTTCTTCTTCTTCCAAACCCAAATCCAGTGTTGCATACCTCCTTTCCCCCAACATTTGCACTCAGTCACTCATTTTGGATAAGCTGCTGCGAGGAACAATTAATACTCTGTGGCTGCATGGATTGTGCAAAACTGATATAAAGGATTAGGTTCCTTTTTTGTTCCTTCAACGCTAGGTAACAGGGCCCTTCTGTTTTAGGGAGGTGATAAAGTGCAGAAAAACAAATTAATAGAATTAATTAGCTGTGTTTTCTGGAGTGGCTTTGGACTGAGAGATGAATAATAGATTTGTAGAGTTGGAAAGGGATCACAAGGGTCATCTAGTCCAACCCCTGCCATGCAGGAACCTTTTTGCCCAGTGAGGGGCTCAAACCCACAACCCACAGGATATATGGAAATGCTTGTAACTTTCTCATGATGTTGTTGTTGAATAAAAAGCAACCCTAGGGTCATTTTCTACCTGTGGGTTTTCCACTGGTTGGAAGAAGACGTGCAGTGGGGACGAGGAGCGAAACGAGGGACGCAGACTTAAGTAAAGAATGTTCTTCAGTTCCTGTTCCTTCATGGAAGAGACATGCCTGCAAATTTCTCCCCGCTGTGATCCATGTTTGGTTATTTTGGAGCCCGCTGGCAATGACGCCTCATTTCATTTTTGCAATGGTGCGTCTGTGTAGCATTCTAAACATCTCACGAATGTGGCTGCCCCCTCCCTCCCTCCCTCTTATGAATAATAGTGTTTGGGGCGGATCTAACCCCAGAGAAATAACATTTTTGGAAGTATAATATGGTGGGCGTGAAAGAGAGAACCGCTTCTCCAAAGGCTGCCGTGCTCAGCATCTCAGCTGGGTCAGAGGACTTGCATTCTCTTGCCAGAGAATGGGCCTCTTCTTCTTCTTCCTCCTCCTCCTCCTCCTCCTCCTCTTCTTCCTCCTTCTAGCTGGCACGGCGCTTATTTGAGTACCGTATTTCTGTGGCCTACGGCATTTCCGTCAGTTGTGTTTCCATGCCTCTCAGCGGTTAAAATGAGTCAGGGTCCCAAATGCCTTGTGGAGACCCCAGTGGCTGTAAGAGATCTGCACTGCCCAGGTCAGCTGCTAAGTGTGTGAGTGGCTGAGGAATGACTGTTTGTTTGTTTTTAAGGAGAGAAGGGCAAGCCCCGCTGCACGCTGGTGTTAGCCTTGGCTTTCTGTCATCTCGGTGCTGTGGATACTCTGGTTTCCAAAACATCCTGCCCGTTTAGGAAGGCGCGCTATTTTTGATCGTCTTGTTAGGCTGTTCCCAGGGAGCAGTGCATGGTGGTTAATGTCCCCTTTCCCGTTTGGGCAGCTCTGTGTGTTCGTGTGTGTTCCTAACGCTTTCACAGAAATCGAAAGTGCAGTAGCCTCTCTGCTTAGTTTCTTTTCATCACTGGGTTATTTTCAAGCTTGGTTTGCACAGAGTAATAAATCTCATTTCAAAGACCATCTCAGTTTGTTGACATTCCAACCCAGTGCATTTTTTTAAATTGAAAACTTTTATTTTAGAGCAAAATCTGGCTGTGGGGTGGAATTAAGAATCTGTAAAGCTCTTTTTGTTAAACA